AGCTGCCCCACTCTGATCTGGAGTATTTCAAAATGGTACCACTTTACATTTGTGCCTCTCTCATTTGGTGTTGGCGCATGAAGAATATTAATGAAACACATTTTAACTGTCTTCCACAGCAGTGGTGACCTCCATAGATTCCAAAGTATTCCTTTCCCCCTTTGATCTCACATCTTTACATTATTCTAGTAATAATTTTCTATTTTGAAGTATTGAAATAAACTGTCATATGGAAAATATGAGCGGAATGACAATAATTTCCCTCTATCAGATCTTGTTATCAAAATCTGTGAATTAATCATATTTAATGCTCAGTCATTGGCCATGAGCAATTGTGTCCTGACGTGGATCACAATTTATGGACCGTCTTTACTGATCTGCACTATATTTTGAAATTCCTAGATGCTTAATTCCTTCTCAGCTTTACATAAGGACTATATCCATTGAGATTACTCTGCATCTCACTCAAGTGGGTGAGACTGAATAAGGATACAAATGTCTTAGCAGTTTATCATCCCATTTCCTTGGCATTGCAAAATTACTCTATTTTCCTCTCCAGGGAAAAAAAAGACATAAAGGATGCTAGTCACAAAATGAAGATACAAGGATTTGTAAGCCAGTATCACAAGCATGTCAGTCTTAGATGAATGTCCATGGTTATATTTTAGCTTCTTATCCTTAATTATTCAGATACAATGAACAGTGGTTGCTATTAAAGGAACTTGTAGCTTCTGCTTCTGATTTCTGAAACTCAGAGGGGTTTTATTTTAAGTCCTGACTTGCTTTTGTTTAAATTTGAGGCATTTTGAGCATCCACAGTAATCTACTGCTAGAGAGAATATATTTGGTGAATCCCATTATTGTACTTTAATTCAACAAGCTTTTATTTTTTTTAATTTTTATTTAAAATGTATTTTTTTTTTTAATTTTTGGCTGCGTTGGGTCTTTGCTGCTGTGCGCAGTCTTTCTCTAGTTGTGGCATGCAGGCTTCTTGTTGCGGTGGCTTCTCTTGCTGTGGAGCACAGGCTCTAGGCGCACAGGCTTCAGTAGTTGCAGCATGCGGGCTCAGTAGTTGTGGCTCGTGGGCTCTAGAGCAGAGGCTCAGTAATTGTGGCGCACGGGCTTAGTTGCTCCGCAGCATGTGGGATCTTCCCAGACCAGGGCTCGAACCCGTGACCCCTGCATTGGCAGGCGGATCCTTAACCACTGTGCCACCAGGGAAGCCCCAGCAAGCTTTTAGAGCAATCAATTGTACTCAATAAATATAGCTGCATCTTTGCAACAAAGAAGAAAAGAAAGAAATAAAGAAGGAAAGAAGAAAGAAAGGAGGAAGGAAAGAAAGAAGAAAGCTTATCTGTGTGAGGCCAGTACATTTTCTTTTAATATTTATTTATTTATTTTGGCTGTGTCGGGTCTTAGTTGCAACAGGCGGGAACTTCATTGTGGCATGCAAGCTCCTCCGTTGCGGGACGGGCTTCTCTCTAGTTGTGGCACGCAGGCTCCAGAGCACGTGGACTCTGTAGTTTGCGGCATGTGGGCTCTCTAGTTGAGGCGCGTGGGCTTAGTTGTCTGTGGCATGTGGGATCTTATTTTCCCAACCGGGGATCGAACCCACATCCCCTGCATTGGAAGGCAGATTCTTTACCACGGGACCACCAGGGAAGTCCCTGAGTCCAGTACATTTTAAACAAAATATCTCTGATACCTTGTTTTCAGAATTCTTTTCCCTGTAAGTCTCAGTCTCAGTAATGTGACTTTAATTAGCAACAGCAACTTGAATGCTCCAGACAGTAACTTGACAATGAGCTTCCATAGGCATTTTGGTCCTTTTGTGTACTGGGCTGCTTCTTCTATTATTTAGTGAAATCACAGGAATGCAGAGAGATACATGGAGGCTTGCTTCTCATTGGTGGCTTTCAAATGAGCTGTTATGACCTCTAATTCTAGGTCTTGAGGACTTCACACCAGGCATATTGGAAACACATATACTGAAGGGGAGAGGGAGAGGGCAGAAAGTAGATCACCTGTGGAAATTTTCAACCCAGAATTGTTGTTATTTAGCGTGGCTTCCAGAAATGTATGTTTGCCTTGAAAGTTTTTTTCCAGGATTGAGTGAGCATTGCCAGGGTCAGGAGAGAAGATGGGAGGGTGGATAGGAAACAGGAAAAATGCTTCTAACCTGACCTTTTGCCCCGAATCTGGAAGTGACATGCAAATGGGACACGTTTCACTAGATAATGCCCAAATGCCACGATAGGGCTGATGTTTTCCATGGGGAGCATATGGCCCTAGGAAAGAATAAAGGCTGCTAGGAGTCAAATCAGGGGCTTATTTTTTAACAACTATTCTGATTTTGAGCCAGTTTTAGCACTTTGATGTGTCTTGAGTAGCAAAAATTGGACCTTAATGTTAGTATGTTACCGTCATTAATGAAGCATGTTTAACTTGGAACTGCATTTTGTTTATCTTTCCATGAAACTTCACACAGAAAAATAATGGATTTCTAAAAATGTGAGTACACTTAATATCCTTTGTCAATACACATTATAGTAAAAGCTAAGAACAATGTATAACAAAATGTGTCTGCTATTGTGTTTATTATTAAGAATATAAATATTTTCATCCATGAAATCCAAATCCACAAAGTGTTTTCAGATACAGAGCTATGAATAAGTTACAAAAATACCATAAAACCCAATAAAAAAAATACTGTAACACGATTTTTAAATCTCTATAAAACTACAGAGAGCGCTGTCTGAAAAAGATGACATTTCCCCAGAAATTCAGTCTGAGGCTTTCCATGCAGACGGTGGAATTTACTAGTTTACATAGTGAGCTGAGGACGGATTGACTTGGCCCACACACTGGCTTACTCAGCGACCTTGGATGGGGCATTTGCACGCTCTTGCTTTCATTTCTCTGACTGTATGTAAATTCCAGTCTGAAGTGTTTCACTAAGGCTTATGTGAGAGATTCTGTCTCCTGTCAGTCACCTAGAGGCATATGTCTGGTATTTTGGTGTCATGTGAGTTTTATGCCGTGTCCTTATAGCCATAACTGGGCCTGTGGGTGACTGGCCAGGTGCCTTTGAAGCCAGGGGAAAGCAGCTCTGCCATAAAGGTCCATGTAGGGAGCGAGAGACTCTGCCCCACACATCTCAGCCCCTCATTTCCGGTTTTCCTCCTTAGGATCGTTCAAATTGCTTTTTTCATTTCACTTACCAAGTCCAGAAAAGTTAGATGGGAACCAAAAGTTCTTTCTTCCCAACCTCCTGCTGTAAATCTCACGTCTGTGAACACCTGGAAAAGAATAACTATTCTAAAAGTCAGGGCTGCTTGAAATTGACTGAAATAATTAGATGTCTTTTGGGGGAAAATGATAGTGGAGAAAAGGTGTCAGATTTGGATTAAATGTAATTGATAGACTTTTTTGGCTATTAACTGTAGGGTAACTCAGTGAATTTTCTTTACGTAAAGATCATGGCACATTCACAGTTATTAAATGTTGTCATTACAGGGAAAAGTAAAGTTGTTCAGAAGAAATTCTTTCTGTGGCCTTCATATGTTGGACCAAATAAAAAGATTCATGCTATGTAAACTCTATGAGGCTTATATTAAAAACTTAGTAAATATCAGTTGACTGACTGAGTAAATGAATGAATGCATAAAACTATCTACTCAGACTATATGCGGGTTAACACTGCTATTCTCCAGATGGTTTGGTCGTTGTCAGATGATGTACAGAATAATTTAGGGCTAAACGCCCTTTGATTACTTAATAATTATCCAAAGTTACTTGGAATATGACCATAACTCTATAATTCTCTTGGTCACCATAGACAACCTTGTATTGAAGAAATCTTGATGGTTTCCTTGGTGGCCCAAAGACTGCGTCGAGCGTCATTGTCAGTTACACAGAGTTTATAGCTGGAGAAACTGTGTTTACGGTGGACCCCAGTGCTTATTGTCTAGACCTGGTCTTGCCATATCTTCATTGAATGCATTTTTGCCCTGTGAGGGTGACAGTAGAAAAGTAAGCTTCTTTGTTTAATGAAGCAGGTAACCAAGGAATGTGGGAGAAACACACGTTCCATTACACACCCAGTCAATACAGATCAAGAAAAACAGAACGTGTTTTTTTTCTTCTTTATTACAGCTTCCTTTACTATCATTTTATGGGAATAATTATCATTTTGGCCCACAACTTTGTTTGATTATTTCTTTTTTTTTTTTTTTTTTTTTTTTTTTTTT